AGTTAAATGTCCCTCCTTCAGCAGAGTTTGTTCTGTCTGGACAGATAACTCCTCACGGCATTTATCAGAATCCCATTTAATCAAACGTGACTCACAAACTAAAAAAGTGTTTTCCTCTTCATTTATTTACACGAGTGATTTCTACGTGCCTACAGAGAACCTGGACCTCTTAGAGGTAGTTTCTGATGGTTGTTATGAACGCCACCTTTAAAACTGGCGTTTTTTGATTTGGAGTTGAAGGTCTGGTGTGTGAGCTAACAGCTTCTTTTTGCATGACTCATCATGCACGGAAGATAATCAAGCTGCAGAGAGAGTGCTGAAGCTGCACTGAAACTGCAAAAGAGCATGACTGAGGAATGTAGGACAAATAATGATCTCAGTCTACACACTAGATTCTCTGCATTTGCATCTAACACAGTGAGGAACGCACACACTGCCAAGACTGTCTCACTGCAGCTGTCAATAATAAATGAAAGGAATCCAAGAAGCAGGAAAATCGGATCACTGTGTATCCGAGTGTGATTTGCACATAAAGCCTCATTACAGGGTTCTCTGTTTTCAGCTGCTTCTTTTTACTTTACAAGTTTCTAATGCTTCTCTGCTTCAAAGTATAGAAAACAGGAACAGTATGTTTGAAACAAACATTCACAACTTCTGCCAACCAGAAAGCCTTACAATAGCTTCCAGTGGCTAAAAGGCCTCAAATTAAGGAACAACGTCATAGCATAATAGAGTGAAGACAAAAATGTATCCACTGAAACCTCTGAAGTTGATTAATTGAACTGAATTTGATTTCATTTTTTCCTCAAAGATATTTTTATTAAGGTTAACCAAACAGAATACACACACATTAATAACGAGCACAATAAAAAAGAAAACATCGCAGAGGTTGTGAAAGGGAAAAAAGCATATTGCAATGTGGTCTCAGATTAGAAAGAACAGAGCTAAACTTAGTTATTGTTAAGGTGGCAGTTAAATAGAGAAATATACATGTAGAAAAAATAATATAGAATAAGAATAGAATATATAAGAATAAATAGATGAACATCTACATGCAGGCTCATAGAGCAGTGATGAACTTGGGCTCAGGGCCTGAAGATTTGCTAATATTTCAGCACGGACCCTCACAGCTGTTTGTATGTTTCGCTGGTATCACTAATCAGAACAGATCTTTTCCAGGCTTGGACAGGACATCGGATCTCTCAGCCAGTGCAAGCGGGTCGGGACAGAAGGATGTTGAATTTATCAACTTAAATATTGAATCTCACATATCCTCAGACAGAGACATGCTTAAGTCCTGCTCACAAGCAGTTTAATGCCTGACAATCGAAGGGCCTTTAATGCCCACCAGCATGTGACAGATAGCAGATATTAACCCCTTTCTTGGGCAGGGATAGCTCAGTAGGTAGAGTGGTGGCCCCATGATCGGAAGGTTGGGGGGTCGATTCCTCTGAACAGCTACCCTGAGGTACCCCTGAGCAAGGTAACGTCCCTACACACTGCTCCCCGGGCGCCCAATGGCTGCACGCTGCTTCAGTGAGTGAATGGGTTAAATGCAGAGAGGAATTTCCCCACGGGGATCAATAAAGTACACTTTCTTTCTTTTTCTGAGTTGGGCGCAAAGTTAGGAACATATCTACCTCAGGAAAGTTCGACATCTAAGACTGAAGAAAGTGTCTAATCTGAAGATGCCTGAATAAATAAGTTTCATTAAAGATGCAAAGTTATTATCAGTGAACAAATCATTAGCACCTAGTGCTCCGTCCACACCAATCTTGAAATACAGGATTGCTTATAGATGGTTAGAAAGGGTCATTTGATGCGATTGGACTCAAACAAGACAAATCAGTCAGACAGAAGTGTTTTATCATCTGAGCCCGTATCCTCACAGTGTGCCAG